GTGTCTCAGGAGTGCATGTCTCTTTCAGCAGCACATCTTCCTTAACCAGCAGTCAGAGAGAGTTCTGCCTCTAGGAGGCCTCCTTTTGAGCTTGGCAGAGTTGTCAAACCAACCAATCATAACAACAGAATTCTAAGCACCTGAGAGTAAGCCTCCCATAACATTGCATTGTGCCACGCCCAACAGAAATAAGCCAGGTGGATAACATTTACAATCAGGAGCTCCTCAGTTGCTCATTCTACCACTGAGTTTACAATGACTTATGGGTAGAAAAGCCATACTAATTTACTACACTGCACCTATTTTTGTCATGTTCCCAGAAGGGACCAGTCCCTGCTTGGTAAAGTATGTTGTTGTTGTTGTTAGGTGCCACTGAGTCGTCTCTGACTCATAGCGACCCTATGCACAGCAGAACGAAATACCACCCGGTCCTGCGCCAGCTCATGATAAAGTATAGGGCCAGTGAAAAATTGGAAGACCCTCCAGGAGATGGACTGACACTGTGTCTGCAACGATGGGCTCAAGCATAGCAAAGATTCTGAAGATGACACAGGACCAGGCAGTGTTTGTTCTATTGTACACAGTGTTGCCATGAGTCAGAGCTGACTTGATAGCACCTAACAACAACAATAATTCCTCTATTACAGAAGGTCAACAGGCTGTTTTGATCAATAGATTGTTTCTATTCTTAGGGATCCTCTGTTCAAGTGAGACAAGTGCATCCCTGGCTATCTTCAGCAGCCAGCTACATCTAGCTCTCTAACAGAAGGCTGAGGGTCAGGACATAGGGAAGTAAGATCAAATAGCCAGTTTCAATCTACATTTCCTATACAGAGATGTAAGCAAGACACTTTGCATTGCCTAGGAACAGAATTTCTTCCTGTTATGGACTAAATTGTTTCAAAAATATATATATATGTGTGTTGTAAATCTTAACCCTTGTACATGTGAATGCAATCCCATCTGAAAATAGGGTTTTGTTATGTTGATGAAGCTCATCTACTTTGGTCGTGTTGTCAGTAGTCAGGACCAGTGCAGAAAACCAAATCCAAATCCACTGCCAGCCAGTAAATTCTGACTCATAGTGACTCTGCAGAACAGAGTAGAACTGCCCTATAGGGTTTCCAAGGCTGTAAATCTTCGCAGCAGACTGCCTCATCTTTCTCCCACAGAGTAGCTGGTGGGTTAGAACCACAGATCTTTTGGTTAGCAGTTGAATGCCTTAGGCATTGTACCTCCAGAGGTCTTTATCAGTGTAGTGTATATCTTAATCACTTTAAGATTGGAAAGGAACAGTTTAGGCACAGATGCAAACAAGGGCAAACTGGAGGTGATTGATGCCTTGTGGAGATCAACAAAGAGTACAGGAACAGAAGCTGAAGAGAGACAAGGACCTTCCCCTAGAGGCTTCCCCTGAGTTTGGTCTTCTAGCCTCCTAACTGTGAGAAAATAAATTTGTTTGTTAAAGCCACCTCCTTGTGATATTTCTGTTATAGCAGCACTAAGAAACTAAGACATCTGCCATTAAAGTTCAATGTTAGAGGGAAATAGCAAATCATAGTAGCTAATGCCACAATCAGTTCAGGTCAGGCCTATCTCCTATTAAACCTAGGATCAAATATCTTATATGTAGCATCTACCATTATGTGAGCTCTCTGGCCCTTATTTAATACACCACACTTCCAGGGATGGATGTTTATTTACATTACACTGGTCATGTTTGTTTATTTACTTTATATTCATATCCAGTACATTTGTAGGGAATACTTTTTTTTTCCCTGCAAAACCAAAAATAGAACAGGATAGAATTAATAGGATATTGAGTAGCTGAATAAACACCTTGCTTCACTTTGAGGTCTTCTCTGGGATTTCAGAGAGGACTGTATCCAGAGGTTGCCAGTGACAATTCATGAGAGAATCATAGAGTTCTTCACTTTTCACCATAAACTCCTTGTTTAATGTCTCAATAGTGAAGTGAAGATTTGGATCTGCAAAGTTAATAAAGCATATGGGAAAAAAAAGTAGAGTTTCACAGGGCACATATTGGAAATGGCTTAAAATTAGAGATTATTTTAACATTAGCAGGAAGTATTACAGACATTAAATGTTAAATTTTTTAAATTTTGTGTTTCCCTTCAATTAGACTTGAAATTTGAAATTTAACTTTAACAGTAGTACTGAGGGAGTTCCGGCAAGATGGCGGACTAGGCACAAGGACTGCACAGACGTTCTTCAACAAAGAAAAGGGAAACCAATTAACACAGACACAGAAGATAATCTTGGACCCCTGAGCCTTGAAGGGAAGG